AAAACCTACCGGCTAAAATTTCTTTACAGTGATGGTTATAGTAACCAGGGGTTGTGGAGTAGAGTGCAAATGTAGTCATTTTATTTACTATCCAAAATGAGAACCTACACGTGTTCTGAGTTTTTATATTTAATGTTGATAACACTAAAGTAGTGTTAAATCTGAAAAAAAAGAGATTTCTTTAGGGACTATTTTGCCTCACAACAACAAACATGCCTATGAATAAATTTTAATAAATACATTTTAGGCCAAAACCTTTGAAAAATTATTGCAAAACAATATCCCAGACCCCCATCCCAATATCCCCAGGCCAGCTTACTCATAATAATTTTGTGTATTAACTTTCTTTGAGGTAGCCTATAGAGGCATTTAACACTTCAGTATGGATCCTATCACCACCACTGTTAACAGTTCTGACTAGGTAAGTTTCTCTAGAACAGAGAATGTCACATCAAACCACTTCTGGTCAATGGTTACATCCTAACCATTGACCAGAAGAGAAACCCTCAGTGCCGTCTAGGTCTTCTAATAAGGCCTAATGCTCTGCAAGGGTTACCGTACTACTCTTGCTTCATTGTTCAGTATAGGATGGAAACAAAAGGTACATTTACATCTAGGTACATATAGCTAACCTCTCCTCTTGGTTAGGCCTAATGATTTAGATCACATGTGTCAGGCTCCAGTCCTCGCGGGCCAAAACACCGCAGACTTCAGGGCACTGCCTCATTAAACACACCTGATTCAGCTCATCAGCTAATCAGCAAGGACTTCATAAACTGAATTCAGAACGTTAGATGAGGATAAATGCTAATCTCTACAGCACTTTGGTCCGGAGGGTCCTTAGTTTGGCATGCCAGCTTTAGATAAACTATCAGCATAATTACCTAGAGACAGAGAAATCAACCAATCACAATTTGATTTCCAATAGGAAATTTGGAAGTCCTAGATACATCACTGGCTGTGATTAAGAGCAGCAGCTTAATCAGTGAGTTGTTAGAAATAGAAAACAGCAGCAGCAGCTCTATAGCTCTATTAGTGCTAACAAACAACTAGAATCCCACAGGAACACTAGCAGAAATGAGCATTATTGTAGAAGTGATGTCATGTATGCAACATGTATGATGGTGTTTTGACATTAATGCAACAAATTGAAGGCCTCGCTCTAACAGTCATGGTTCGCCACAACCATTTACTTATGCAGAAATGTAAAAACAATTGGTGGAATTTGTCTTTAACAGATCGATTTTAGCCTAGGTTAATTAGCTGAGTTGAATAAGATGTGCTGTGAGCAGGCAAAAACAAAATGTGAAGTGGAAGGGGTCTGTCTCTCAGGCTAGGATTACTCTAGAAATAAAGCAGTAGTCTTCTTCAAACCCAGTAAAAAATCCATATTGTGTTCATTAGTTAGAGAGGTGTAATACTGAAAGAATTCCAGCAATTCTAAAGCTCAATGAGAGTCTGGTAATGTACAACATATTTCTACCACTGTTGCTTATGCTTTAAGAGCTTGCAGCATTGCATAAGTAAGACATTCATCACTCCAAGGTGACATTAGCTAAATGTAGTGCCTTGTTTTTTGGCCTTGGTTGAGTCTACTGTTTTTGCCCATTACGGGCCTGCTGTGGCTCGTAAGCCATGCAGTATGCTGAGCGAAACACAGGTGGCAGTATTTCACCAGCTGACATTTACAGCATAATGACTGAGGAAGTGGCCAAGGCCAGATGGTCACATTTCCATTCAAACAAAGGTTTGTGGGAGTTCGCTGGGATGTTCCCCAAAATCTGAAAACGAGCATTTGTTCCCCTCCCACGCATATGTGACTGTAGTTTCATTGCAAAATCAATAAATCAGGAGCTGTCTCATGACAAACCATAAATAAGAAAATGGCTAGTGCCTTCCATAGTTTTGACAGCAGCAGATAATAATGTTCAGCATAAAAAAATACAGAGCAAACCACTTATTAGCTTTGTACTCACAATTAATCGCTTAGAGACTGCAATTCTCAGGAGGCTATTTCTCACGAGCATTCTGAGGTACTGAAATTAATAAGCTAGCGCTGATAAAACAAAGGGTGGTCTCACAACACAAGCCTCCAATCAAGATTTGTGCTCAATTGTAACCCATTAATTCCGAGTCATATATTAGATTCTATATAAAGCAACCTCATTCTTATTCTTGAAGAGTTTATCTTAAAATATGCCACCTCACCTCATATCTCCTAAAACCCAGAGCAGTATTTCTCACGCCAGCCTTCTAGCTGCCAAGGAGACAATACTGGCTCATCCTATTCTCATCACTCCCTGTCCCAGACATGCTGAGGTGGGCTAATGGGGACATTAGGATGAAGCACGGATCTCGCTGGCACATCTACAGGTTGAGACTTTGCATTGCGGAGACATGGACCACACAGAAGTGTCTCCACTGCTAATGTCTTACTTAGATTTGCTAAAATGCAATTTCGGTGATTTGTGCAGGCCATCGAGTGGCTTTCAAGCACTGTAAATCTCACAGATGATTAACTATATTTTAGTTAGCTGTTTAAGAGCTGTGGATGAGGTCTGGTAGTGGAATTAAATACTGTGCAGTAGACTTAAACAATTAATTTACACCCTTTGAAGAGTAGAGTAATCTACATAAACATTTATAAACGCTTACTCCAAAAGACATCATTTGTCCTAAAGACTGCATTTGCCTTATGTCAAGAATTAAATAATTTATTAGCTTAATTAACAAGAAATACATTCTTCAAGATGTTAAAAGGGTTATTTGGAACAATACCATAGAAAAACAGATTATGGTTGCCTAAAGAACCTTTCAGTAGATGGTTCTTTGAAGTAATCGTTCTCAAACTGGTCCCCAGGGACCCCCAGATGGTCCACATTTTTGCTCAATCCCAATTCCTGAAACATAGAGCAACAGTATGGACCGTTTGGACGTCCTTAAGGACTGGTTTAAGAACCACTGCTTTAAAGAAAGAGTGTTGAGAATATTCTAAAAGTTCAGAGATCTACCAAATAAGGTATAAGTTCTTTACCAATTGATGGATTTTCCTAGAATTGCATATTGAAGGCAAGAATCATTTAGGAACCTTTATTTTTAACAGCATACTTTAAGGGTTCTTTAGTAAAGGCAATGGTTATAAATAGAGCCAAATGGAATATCAGGCATTAACTTAACTCAAAGATCCATTTGAATGTATAAAATTGGTTCTTTAAAATTGGCATGACCAGATGTTTTTTTTCTAAGAAGGAAAACTCACTGTATATAGTTCTTTTAAAAACTTAAAAAAATGGCTCTATAGACCAAAAAGTGTTCCCTGTTAGTTACAAGTTATAGAACCCTTTTAGCTAAGAGTGTAGTCTTTACTCTGGGCCTGGAAAAACAAGTACAAGAAAGATGTGAGAAAATTTCTTAATGTTTAACTAAATGTTCAGTGACACTTTACTGTAGGGCAGTGTTGATAAGGCTGAGTCCTACACAAGGCCTCCATGACAGCTAACATAAATCTACATAAATACTTATAAACACTTATTCCAAGAGATGTCATTTGTCATAAAGGTTGTATTTGCCCTATGTCTGTCAATTTTTAATGTCATCTTTATGTCATAACATCTGCCTTAGGTTACACTGATTTTTTTTTCTAATATCAAAATATCAATAATGACAATGATATCAAAAATGACAATATCAGCCTTAAAGACAGATGACACCTCTTGAAATAAGTCTTTATAAATGTTCATGTAGGTTTACATCAATTATCATGACAAGCTTATGTAGGTTTCATGTAGCTTTATGAACACTGCCCTACAGTAAATTGTTACCAAGAGTCTTTTAGGGTTAAACTCCTGATTGTGGTCAAATGAACATCTCCGAAGATATCTGGATGTCATACAATTTCACATTGTAATTACCTGGAGTAAATTCAATTAGTGACCTGGATTAAAGGCTTGATTGGCAGAAGGTCAATTTGTGGTTACTCAATTCGCTACATGTCTGGAAAAAAGACGCTTTCCTGGAAATCAATGCTGAGAACATACTGACCCACAACAACATTCTCCACATCTACTCTATCTAAGACTCCATCAGCCTTCAAGACAAGTCCAACCAAAGGAAATATCAGGCATTAACTGCTTATCTGATAATATACAGGTCTGTAAGATTAGCTGGTCGTGTGCATGCTTCATGCGTATCACCCTATCCATGTTCCACAGTTTATAGAATGTAACAGTGGGTCCGGGGGCTACGTCAGGAGCAATTGTGCAAAAGCTTGTAGGAGGTTTGGCCTTGAAGGCTAGATTAAACCTCTGTCAGACCAGACGCTGAATGCCAAGGCTACAGGTCTTTGGGGATTAGGGTCCACCTCCACAAAAGGAGAGATCCCTGCCTTTAGAATCTAAATGGAAATTTGACAGGAAGAAGAAGTCAGAAGCCCCTCTTTCCCTAAGGTGGGCGTTTTGTCTGACAGGAGAGTATAAGTCTGAAGGCTAATGGAGACAGATGGAGAAGGACGGAAGGCATATCCAGCAGGTAAGGCTCACCTCAACTCTGGCTATGCTAGTCTCATTTTCATGTGATAGATGGCTTACATATATTTTCTAATTGTCCTAGAAGTGTACAGGTAGCTAGATGATAGAGGCATATCACCGCTATCAAAAGATCTACAGATTGCACTAGGTTTCAAACCACTTTCAGAAGAGCTGTTTTTTATAAATTAAGTATGTGGTTGTGAAGAACCTCCACACACAAAGTTTCTCTACCAATTAAAGGTTTTTCTTACAACTTAATGTCCAAACCAAGAACCATGTAAGAATATTTATTTGTAAGGAAGTATACTCGCTGATTATCTGGTTCATATGGCCTGTATTAATCAAGCTAATCCTGAACTACACAGTAAACGTCATTCAATGGCAAAAAACATTTTTAATCCTTGACTTTTCTGAGAGATTAACAAACTCTGGCATTAGTTTATTTGCATATTGTGTTCCCACTCCTAGGTAAGGATGCGTGTAGCCGTTTTGGTGATGCTGGTGCCTATACTGGTGAGGGCTGGGTCAGAATGTAAGGCTAGCTGTCGCCTTGCCAACATCTCTATCACTGTGGAGAGTGAAGAATGCGGGAGCTGCATGACCATCAACACCACGTCTTGCGCTGGCCTCTGCCAGACACAGGTAGAACTAAGCCTGGCCTATTTCTAAAGATATAATCAGCACGATATTTTCCAGTTAAGATACTGCAATTATCTATTATTTTCTGTCTTTATAGAAGAATCACTCTAGAATTCAGCTATATAAAACTATATACTGTTATGTTTTTTTATCAGTGAGAGTCATTTCATCCACTGGGACACTTTTCTGAAACAGCATGCCACACTCCAAAACCCACAGCAGAGACAGAGGGGAATTTACTCTATCATTGCCTAGTGGCTTTTTAAGGCCCCATAATAACTCAATGTTTTAACAGTAAAAGTGAATGAAACTTTGTGTACATATTATTTAATCCTATTTAGCAAACTGTTTAAAGGTACATTAGTCTGCTCTAGTTCTCTTTACCAACACAGCAATTATCACCTTGAAGCCATTGTCATTGGGTTACCTGTCAATCAACGCAGATATCCAATTACATCCCCTCTATTACACAGGCCTAAACAACCAGAAGCACTTGGTGACTGAACAGTCAGCTAGAAATGTGTGATATTATATTGTTGTGTTTATTTTCAAGTGGTACACTACAAGGAAATGGCATTTAGACCAGTGAAATTATCTTAAATGTAGTCGATATAGCTATTTTGAGATTGTTGTAGGCTTACAATAAGCTTATTTAAATTATAATACTGACAAATCATTTTGCCTGTTTCAACCACATTTATTAAAATAGGACAACTACCAATCAATAGTCAGAATTTCACTTGATAGAATCACTTACAACAAATTAAAAATGTTACAAAAGGTAAATATTTCTATAATAAGCTTACAACAATCTCAAAATGAGATATATTAGATACATTAGCTACATTTAAAATCATTTCACTTGCCAAGATACCATTTTTTGGAGAACATGGGGAAAGCAATTCCTTCCAGTGGAAATTTAATATAATGTCATACACTGTAGTACATCTAAATGACCAGTTTTATTACATATCAGGAAATTGGTTCCTTCTAGTTCATTTTTATGATAGTTAAACTATATAGTATATTGCCACTGTCAGAACAAAACCTTGTAAGTCCATTTTTTTTAAGCAGAATTTGATAATGAATACCAGCTGCCAATACATTAACTTACAGCTTACAATGTGTTAACATTCCTTGATGAATGGACCAATAGAAATGCTCCACAGTGACTTGTTCGATTAACTTCCATACAAAGTTAAGAATCTTTTCTTCATTTTACCTGTAAAGTTACCATTTTGGAACTATGAGCTGTTGTCAGGACAGCAATGATATTTTAGCAGTAAATGGTACATTTGTAGAAGTGTTTTAGTTGTCAGGACATCACCCACTGCTTGTTTACTTGTTTAGCATCAGTTTCCTAAAATAACTACACCATTAACACATTGACTGGTGGGTGAAGACAAGCCAAATCACCAGCGAATGTCAACAACAATGTATATTCCCACTGGAGAGTAGGCAAGCAACGACATGCAGTGTTCAGACATGTAGTCTTAACACAATTATATTGTTAAAGGAAAACTCCATCATTTCTTAGCTTAATTTCCATCTGTCATATCTATTTACCTTTTTCCTGTATAACAGAGGCCAATGAGCAAGTGTGAAGGCAACTGCCTATTGCCTTCTATTAGAAGCTTGAGTCAAGTTTTCTGTTCGTTTCTGCGTGCAGGGAAACACATTGAAATTACTGTCTGTGGTAAGTGACCATATGATACAGCAGATGGATATTAGATTGAACAACACTGGAGGATTCCTTTCACTAACGCGAGCCGGGTTTAAATGAACTCAAATAACACTTAACATGATACATGACAATGAATTCATTTACATGAATGTTTTTTGTTGTGCTTTCACTTTTCAGGAGAGAGCTTACCGCAGCCCGATGGCACCATATGTCCAGAACACCTGCAACTTCAGGGAGTGGACGTATGAGACCATCCAGCTGCCGGGCTGCCCGGCAGGGGTGGACTCGTCCTTCACTTACCCTGTGGCCCTGAGCTGTGAGTGCATCCAGTGCAACACGGACAGCACAGACTGCGGAGCGCTCAGCATGCAGCCCAGCAGCTGTCCCTCGTTCTCCCACTACTGAAGCACCAGCACCGCCTCACCTCAAAGCCATCGCATAGATCTGGACAACTTGTGGTCTTTTGCCGCTTAAGCTGCTTAGTTACTGTTACTATCCATTATATTAGTAATCAAATCATGTACAGAGTTTACTTGATCTACCCATCAGAGTCTTTAAACAAGGACAAACAATAACAGATTTAACTGAACGATACACCATGTGTGGATGGAAAAAGATAAACTAGGAAGCCTTTACAAGTTTGAATACCTCCCAGTCAGATGACCTGTTCTTGTTTCTAAGTGAAAATAAGTTAACACATCCTCTACTTAGAACAAAGTTAAATATAGTGTTTTTCTGATTTATTTTTTCTATCTATTTGCTGAGTGTGCCAAAAATTTGGCACAGGCATTTTGTTTCTTTTGTCCTCTTTCTGCAACAATAAAAATGCTTTGTGGCAAACAACAAAATGCATGTATGGTGGGGATCAAATGTCTGAGACAGTGTTGAAAATCTGTGATTTTTTTTAAAGCTAGAAATAAACAGAAAGTTAAAAAAAATTAATTATTCCAAACAAAGAAAAGTTATGAAAAGTAAAATGAAGATTCGGCACTATTTCTAGGTCTTTATCCAAATTTAAGCAAATCTGTATCACCATGGTAAGGCCTTGATACAAAATGCCTTCTTCTTTCACTTAGATTTGATCGACTCATCAGAAGCTTTTGCACAAACTCGTCCAGCTCGAGTGCACACGGTCACTAAAGCTAAAAAAGGGACATACTAAATACTAAGAACTTCTGAAATCCATGTATCGTTTCAAAGATTCTACCTTTCACTCAAATTGTTATGTTGTTAATGTGGTTTGTAATGACAAGTTTCTATTAAATTACAAAACAATGCAAAATTATCACTAGTGCTCTCAGACTTTTGCTTCCCACTGTAAATGGGTGAGAGTGGATTACTGTTCGAGAGAGATCAGCAGGAAAACATCATTGCAAATTCACTGACAATGTAAATGTAATTAAGTAATATATACAGTCAGGCCAAGTAACATCTTTTACTGATTTTCTAAGCAAAACTACCATCCTCTACAGAAACCCACCTCTATACATTTTGAGTATAATGACTATTTGCTGCATTCAACATATTAGGGAAAAAAATAAAACCGAAAAAAAGGCATGTGCAAAAGTTCTGGCACTATATTTTATTTTTCCTCCCAATATGCTAAATCCAGCAAAGAAAAGTCAAACTGTGCACTGAGACGTGCTGTATTTACTGAACAAGATGTGCTAACTTTTTTGTCATTAGAAAATCAGCAACACATTTCATTTGACCAGGGGTGCCAAAACGTTTGCACAAGACTCTATAAGGGAATCAAAGTTATCATTAAGCCCATCACAGCCCTACTTGAAACATTCTGTAAATTTTTGCATGAGCCTGTGCATTAGCTATTCACAGAATAACAAAATGCCTCATTATAATGCCGTTCACCCAATACCTGACAAAAAAAAACGTACATCATACGTACAGTAGCGTCCTTTTTGATACTTTAACTGCAAACTAGATACAGGTGTCTTGCTTATGTTCTCTTTCTGGAATGTTCCTGTCATGCCTGTGTTGACCCTGCTCATTATGGAGGGCACGGTGGACCTGTTGCTCGGCATCACCTAAGCATGTAAACAGTGCATCATTAAAACAGCTCATATGCAGCATTAGCATCTCCCATTTGTTTCTGTAACACACCAGCTGCCGCCACTCGCATATGCGCACGTGCGCTAGCACACACAAATTAATTTGTACTGCATGAAAAATTGGCGTGTGAGTGTTTACCACAGCTTATAATTGTTCTTCGGAGACCAATTATGAAATTCCTCTCTGCGAGCATACCCTGCATTTACTCCAAAGAGCAGAACCCATGATCCACGCTTGTTTTGCATAATCAAATTAGTGATGAATCAACATGAATTTCAAACGGCGTATCTGCGATTCAGATGAATGAACAACAGCAATATAAATACAATTAGATGCACAAAGAGGTAACAAAAAAACAAAAACCTTTAATGAACAAACATTTCAGGGTGTAAAAGCAATATATGCTGTTGATAACACTGCAGCAGTGTAACTTTAATGGCACGGCTGCTTTAGACTTCTGGATAGTGCGTAAAGCCTGAAATACATATTAGATTTACAGTGGAGCCGACAACAGTGCGGAGAAAACTTGTGTTTGATTCGATTTCTAAAGGCCGGTCTATCCAATCTATTCGCTATGAAGGACACCACGAGACAAACATCTCAGCACTGCCAAAGCAAGAATGTCCACATTATCAGTTGAGGAAAAGAAACACCAATATTTCTGAAATCAAAAAGGCTCCGGAATGAACAAATTCCCAGCAGTGTCACAATGTTAAGATTATATTACCTGCAGAGCATTAAAGTAATTCTCTCTACAGTCATGTAATGATCCTTTTTCCCCATGGCACCTGTGGAAAACAATATTATAAACAGCCAGCACTGTCCCATAATATCCATTCGGCCTTCACTTTAAACCTGGTCGTCCTTGCGTGCCTTAGTGTTGCACTCTCTCTCTCCACAAAGAAAAAAAGTCTTAAAAGGAGAATTTCTCAGATTTTCTGCAAAACTAAATTGTTAAGACACAAACAAAGTCATTCAGAGTGGTCTTATGTGAAATGCGCTATAGGCCAACTTGCCGAGTCAGAACTTTTCGCAATGGTGCTGATAGGAACTAGACATCTGCAGTGTTTAATGACTCCAAAAATTACATTACGGGAAGCTTATAGACTAAATGGTTATGAATATGTTGCCTAATGGCTGAGAAAATGTTTCACATTTTACCATTATCTAGACTACATATAATAACTCAGAAGGTATGTAGGTTCACTGATCGTTTTGGATAGCAAATGAAATCACTATATTTGAGTTGCTGACATTATGACCGCAGATGCAAGTTTCTCTACAATGCACCAGTTCACAGTAAAACACTGACTTTGTTTATTTCTCAACAATTATGCAATTATTATCAATTATGCAAAAATTAGGAAAAAAATATGTGGAATTCCCCTTTAACATGATCGTTCAGCAAAAAATTAAACACACACTTTTTTACCTCTTACCCCAAATGTAGTTGACCAGCCAGGACAGATTATTATGTCTTAAGTTTGTGTTTCAGTTTTGCACTGGAACAAGTCTAATGCATCCAGCATAACCTCTTTAATGTTCATAGATAACAGTATATCATACAGCGTCAGAAAAAAACATCTGAGATTACTGATCAGCTTGACACAGTTTGAGGTAAGAATGAGACCCTCTTAGGCATTCAGTTTGCATAACTCTTAACACATGGGTATAAGCTGCATTAGCCCCAAAGCTGTAGTGCAAAACTGAAGACTTCAGACATCAAACATGTCTCGGCCAACAAACTCCATTTAGAGCAAGAGGAAAACTGAGGAAATGTGACTTTTGGTTGAACCACTTTTTTCCCCATGCAACCAACATGTAAAATATACCATATTCATTAGCCCCCACAACCTCTTTATTCACGTCAGCTAGCCTGCGTATTTGTTTCGGATGATCTCGCCTCCCTCCACCTCCACCTGCTCGTACAGCCACTTTCTGTCACAGCGGCACTCTACACCGCACTTGCGGGAGCCGCAGTCAGGGCAGGGGTAGAAGCAGCCCATGCAGTCCACGTCCAGACAATCGCACAAGTCCCGCCCGCAGGAGATAAGAAGACCTTGGCTGTCGTACACTTTACTCTTAGCTGCCATGCCTTGTCTGTAAGGGAGGAGGACATAAAGCTCAGAGCCATATCATACAGTACAGAAGGCTAAAATGTGTCAGTGATGCTTCTTTATACTCACACCATTACATGCATGCAAGTTTTACAAAATTCTTACTTAAGGAAATACAATTAACAGATTTACAGACTTCTATAATCATGCTCCTGGATGTTTACCTCTATGCAAACACATTTACTGTAATCAATTCATTCATTAAGATGCAAAGTTATTCAGAGTGGTTTGATGTGAAATGCACCGTTCTAGAGAATCCAAATCTGATACCTGTCACTGGAAGGGATTTTTGCCCCACCACGTCTCTTGTAGCCATCGTTTATGGTCCTTCCCTACAACAACACATTTGGCTTTTCAGAACGTGACTACTATACGGTGCTGTTCAAAAGTCTTAGGCGCACAAGCAAACCATTTATCTGGACAATAAGTGCGTTAAATACAAACACACATTAATGCAGCAAAAATTAACATACATTTTTTTTCTTTGAGCTTTGTTAGAAGAATAAAGTTTGGTTCCAGATTTCTCGGTGCCCTCCGCCATCACAGGAATCAATTCAATTTCATCATCAGCAAATCTTAATTAACTGAAAGTATTACTGATTGAGTCAAAACCAGTCATGACGACAATAACTACAAATAATAGTGGGCTTCCCTCAGGAGAGGTTTAGGAATAGTTAATCAAACACATTAATAGACACAAAATGACTGCTTCTTGTATTTATTTTAACATTAGTGATTTCTGAGCAAATAAACAGTTATTGCCCAATTAATTTATCTAATTTTCTCAAGTGTCTTAAACATTGCACAGTACTATATGTTCATAAATTACAAAGATATTTAAGATGATTAAATGATTTTTATCATGCACAAATAATACATAACGCATTATTACAAGCACGTAAGCATGCAACGCCTATTTTAATTAGTAGCACAAAAACTTAAGTGGTACCTTTAGGCTGGTCTCTCTAGCTGTTTGTCTCCTCTCCTTATTGAATTGTCTGGCTCCATCAGGAAGTGAACCAAGGCGATTTGATTCATCTTTTGTTACCAGCCCTCCTCTGCTTTTCCTTAATTCAATCTGTATAGAAATTCAAGAGTTTTATCAAAGAGCAGCTAATTGCAGCTTATAGCACATCCATATAACATCCAGCTGGGAAAATAACTGTGAAAAATGTTTAGAGTAAGACAGCATAATGATATGATGAAGGCTTCAAACTAATTTAGCGGCTAAAATACTTGCTCACTCAAGGTTTCTCCTCGATGCTTGACAGATTAATACCTGGCATCTTATGCAATACTCTATGTACAAGTATTAAAGCTTGATGACATCAAGTCAATGTTGAAAAGTCTGTAAAAGTACATTTAGAGGCAATGGAATGACTCTATAACCGGTACATAATATAGTGAAACCATAATGCTTGGCAGCTTCTTTAAATAATAACTACTGGTGTAAAAAAATATTTTAATATTCTACCAATGTTTTAAACAATATTTGAATGAACAATCACATCTATGTTGGTTATCTGTTTGGTGTTCAAACAACGCAATTTCGTCAAAGTTTTTAGAATAATTAATAGAAAGTGCATTCTCCATGGTGCTTTGTTGCACCCCTAACAATGATACATTCTGATATGTGCATGTGTGTTGTCTGTACAGTTACAAACCTTTGTGCCATCGCCCCCTGCCTTGGGCCAGTTAGAGAAAATAGTAGGCACAGCATCTTCCCTCAGGAACTGTTTTCCATTGTAATCGCGGAAGCAATCAGGCTGGAAGTGCTCAGAGCACAGGCAGGAGTTTGTGGTCGGGACAAAGTTCTTTCTACCTAGGCTTCGCACCCATTGCTCAGCTAACTGAGGCTTGCTGATAGGGAATCTACAGAAAAAAGGGAATGCAGAGTTTAGACTTAAAAACACGTTAAAAAGTCAGTCACAGTCAGTTGGACACGGTTATGTTTTTTTCTGCACCTAAAGACTATATGTTGATCATATGTTTCTAAAATGAACAAGAAACGCTAGGCATTGTTTCCACTGCCACAGCTATAAGGAATACATCAACACTTTGAAGAAGCAAAAAACTAGCCTAAACTTAGCATTTAATGTTATTCGTTCTTTATGTAATACTCCGTAGCACAGCATTGAATTGATATGTCTAAAAGTTTGTAGACACCTTCTCATACGAAAGTTCTTCTTAAAGCAAAAGGGTTTGTCTCCCTTTTCTGCAGTAACAGCATCTACTCTTCAGGAAAATCTTCACGCTAGTTGTTGGAACATTGCATGGGAGCTGGCAGGGTTCAGCCACAAGAGCATTAGTGAGTTCAAGAACTGGTGCTGGATGATTAGTTCTGGATCACAAACACCACTCCAACTCATCCCAAAGGTACTGGATGGAGCTCCATTACTCCAGAAAACACAGGTCCACTGCTCCACAGCCCAATACCGGGAGGGAGGCTTTATACCCCTCTGACCAAAGCATCAGGTATAGTGACCTCAGGCTCAAATGCAGCTGCTCCAAAGCATTAAATTATATTGGTAAGTGCATTTCTATGGAGATTATATTTTTTATTTTGTACACACACACACACATACATACATACATACATACATACACACACACAAATATACACACACTTTTTTTTTATTTTGGTATTTGCCCTTCACAATTTCTTCTATTTCAGATCATCAAACTACTTTTAATATTAGACTATGATAACACAAGTAAACAGAAAATGCTGCTTTTAAATTATGATTTAATTTATTGAAGGCAAAACACTGTTCAGCCTTACCTGGCCCTATGTAGCAAAAGTAAATGCCCCCTTAGCTACTAAATCAACCAGTTAACCAAATTCAATTGACCGTTGAGTTTAATTTCACTATCCACACCCAGGCATGATTACTGTCAGACAGTTGAACCTGAACATCATATAAATAAAACCAGCCTGGCAATGTGAAGCAGGCTATCAAAAAGCAGCACATGATGCCACGTTCTATATAGATTCAAATACAGATGCAAAACAAAATCATTGAAAGCTACCAGTCTAGAAAGGGTTATAAGCCATTGCTAAGGCTCTGGGACTCCAGAGAACCACAGTGAGAGCCATTATCACTACAAAATCCCAAAAAAGCTCACATGCATTTGGGTTACACAGCAAGACAGTGATCCAGGCACATAAACAAGTCCACCTCTGAATGACTCAAAAGAAACAAAATTACGGTTTTGGAGTGGTCCAGTCAAAATTGTGAGCTGAATCCCATTGAGATGTTGTGGCAAGACCTTAAACGGGCAGTTCATGCTCAAAAACCCTCTAATATAGCTGAATTATAATTCTGCAAAGAAGTGTGGGCCAAAATCCAAAAATCAGTTGGATGATCTGAAACATTTTAAATGTGACAAATTAGCAAAAATAGAAAAAAAAAGTGGTAAATACTTTTCACAGCACTGTATGTGGTACAGAAGTGTCAATGTGCAGAAATGGTGTTTGGATAATATTAGACGTACAGTGTGTGAAGCAAACAAGAAAAGACAAGGTATTGTTCCCTCTGTTATACAAAAGGTACTTTAATTAAAATAAATAAATTCTACTTATAGAAACGCAGGTAACCATGAAAACAATTAAAAATGCATGAACGAGGGGTGTAAAGATACAAAGCTTAGGCCTGAAAGCAGCTTTAATCCATTCATTTAATTAATTAAACAATTAACGACATCATGCTAATGATCATATAAAGACGGCTGGACAGTCCCACGGCAGAAGATGCACTACACAGCCACAAGTATGTGAACTGAATGGGTCGCACTGAAAACCTCAGTGACTCTAACCATAGCACTGTCATAGTACGCCACGTTTGCCTCACAATGGTTTGTGAAATTTCTGCTCTGCTAGATCTGCCTCAGTCAACTGTAAGTGCTATTATTGTGATATGGTTTTGGCTAGGAGCAACAATAGCTCAGCCACGAATTAGCAGACCACACAAACTCATACAGTACTGAAGTGCATAGGGGGCAAAAATTGTCAATCTTTTGGTGCATGACTCACTACAGAGCTCCGAACTGCCTCTAGAAGCAACATCAGCACAAGAACTACGCATCGGGAGCTTTCATGAAATGGGTTTCTGTAGCCGAGCAGCTGCACACAAGCCTAAGATCACTATGCGCAATGCCCAGCGGTGTAAAGCATGCCCACACCGGAGCAGTGGAAACGTGTTCTTTGGAGTGATGAATCGTGCTTCACTATCTGGCAGTCTGATGGATGAATCTGGGTTTGGTCGATGCCAGGAGAATGCAGCTTATCGGAATGCATAGTGCCAACAGTAAAGGTTGAGGAAAGATAATAGTCTAGGGCTGTTTTTCAGGGTTTGGGCTATGTCCCTTAGTTCCAGTGCAGTGTAATGTTCATGCTACAGCAAACAAAGACATTTTACTTAATTATATTCTTCCAACATTGTGGCAGCAGTTTTGGGAAGACCCTTTCCTGTTCCTGCGTGACTGTACCCCTGTGCACAAAAAGGGCTCCATAAAGACATGGTTTGACAAATTTTGTGTAGAGGAACTCCAGTGGCCAACACAGAGGCTTGACCTCAACCCCACTGGGATGAACTGAAATGTCAACTGAGAGTCAAGCCCTATTGTGCACAACATCAGCACCTGACCTCACAAATGCTCTTTTGACTGAATGGGTACAATCCAAAATCTTGTGGAAAGCTTTCCCAGAAGAGTGGAGGCTGTTATAACCATAAAGGGGAGCAATTCCATATTAATGCCTAAGGTTTCGGGATGGGATGTCCAACAAGCACATTTAAGTGTGATGGGCAGGTGTCCACATACTTTTGGCCATGTTGACTATTTAAACAACTTGATTGTTGGGTTGGGCTAAAACACTTGCTCCTATGAGCAACCCTAGCCTAAGTGGTAACTTCCCAACCCCTTGAATCTACCTAACGATGCTGTACTGAAGGCTTATAGTGCCAGTCACAGCCCTCCAAGGCTTTCCTCTCTCATTTTTCTGTTCTTATGGAAACGTTAGCCCTAGCTAGTTAGCTGGCTATCTGTGTCTAAAAGAAGCCTAACGGCTCCAGCTAGCGGGCCTACAAAATAAACTACGTATCAACAAAAATCAGCAAAACATTTAATACACATTAAGCTTCTCTAAAGTTCACCTTAAACCAATAGGGAACGCAGTGTATTAACCTAACCTATATCAAGTGGCGCAAAACTCTCTTACCTATAAAAGCGGATCTCAGAGCCTTTGATAAAGCGGTTGGTACATCCGAGCGCCGAGCACGCAATAGGCATTATTGTTTCAGCGCACGGCTGTTGTTACTTCCAAGATAAAAATGAGACGGTTTGAGTTTCTGCCGGGTAGTTAAACATCAAGTGTGAATATGAATACGTAAACAACATGGACCAGAGTACCAGAGTACCAGTGTGCCTCTGCGCCTCTGTGCCGCCAGCAGAAACAAACGGAGAAGCTCAGTAGTACTTCTGAAAGGAGGGTTATGAAAATATTGCCACCTAGCGGACGGAGTAAACATTACAATAATAAATGAGCTGACTCTAATAAATCACGGTTCTTCTTCGATGTCCAGACGGCTGGACTCATTACCATCAGCTGACCGCAAGGCTTCGTTAAATTAACATTTACATTCAGACATACTTGTGTCCTATGTGCAGAGGGAAAACGTTTGACTTTTATTTTGGAAAAGGACAGAAACGCATGCAACCGGAAGAAAAGCATGTGTAGGAGACATTTTGACACAAGTGCATCAGCTGTTTTATTAGTTTAAGAGGCGTTTTGCTCTGTACCACAGCATTGTATGGCATTAAAAAATAAGCCCTTCGGGATTTTCAATGGAACATTTTGAAGAAGATTTGGTTGAGGCCCTTAAAGATGTTGTAAAGGCCGGGAACTGGCAATGTGTCGGAGATGCATCGAAATTTAAGTCACCATGCACGAAGTAAGTTAAGAGTCCCTTAGGGACCAAGAACAGTAAGAAAAATAAATAGAATAATTGAAAAAAAAATGCATGTTTTTTCGTTTGGTTACAGTGAGCTGTTATTTATAAGCTCCTAATGAAACTAACTGAAAATAAGTGGCGTGTTGTTAAATCTTTCCCTTCATACTCTCTTGGAGGTTTTACGCAGACGATGGAGAGCACATCGTTCTTGTGCGCACAGAGGACGGAAGGTTTTGGGCTATGGACTCATCCTGCCCACACGAAGGTTGGTGCAGTTTCACCAACCACCAGCAAACACTGAAATATAAAGAGAGAGAGAGAGAGAGAGAGAGAGAGAGATTGAACATACACTCTGGAAAACAGATCATGTCAGTTCATTTTTGTTTAGAAAGTGCCCAGGTCTCGTTTTGCCATCCCCTGTGCCATTGTTTTTATCAGTCCATACATCCATTCATGTAACCATCCATCCGTCCATCCATCTATGTAACTGTTCATCCATCCATCCATCCATCCATTCATGTAAGCATCCATCCATCCACCCATCCATTCATGTAACTATCCATCCATCCATCCATCCATCCTTCTATTCATGTAACTATTCATCCATTCATCCTTCCATTCATGTAGTTATCCATCCATCCATTCATCCTTCCATTCATGTAGCTATGCATCCATCCATCCATCCATGTAACTAACCATCCATTCATCCTTCCATTCATGTAGCAATCCATCCATCCATCCATCCATCCATCCATCCATCCATTCATCCTACCATTCATGTAGCTCCATCCATCCATCCATCCATCCATGAGTTCATGTAACTATCCATCCATCCATTCATATAATTATCCATCCACCTATCTGTTTATTTATTTATGGCTGTATTGACAGGGGGCCCACTTGACCAAGGAGACATCGAGGACCTTGGAGATGGGAAACTGGCACTGATATGCCCCTGGCATTATTTTGACTTCAGCCTGGAGACGGGTTCCTCCTCCACAGGACTGCAGGTAGACCACTGCAATGAAGCTGTTAGTATGGCACCATTGCACCATTTTTGATGTCCTTAAATGTACTTAATTATTGTGTTCTTGACCACAGAATCAGGTGTATGATGTCAGAGTGGTGGATGGAAACGTTTATATTAACACACAAAGTACCTTGTCTCGCTACCCTGTCCCGGTGACAAAAACAGCAAAAACAGGTGAGTGGTAATACAGAAGGTTTAGAAAAGAGAGGGAAAAAAGCAACCATAAGTTTATATAGGTCAAGCAACTCCTCCTTTGTTTGGGAACTTTTTCTAGATGTCTTGTCACCGGTGGAAATAAAGTCAGCATCCTCGGAAAATACGCTCTGTTTCTGGGCCACAAAAATCCTTTGTACTCCAGACCCAGAGGAAAAGGTTAGCCTTCTTATACTCTTTTTTGGAATACTTTAGAAAGACTGAATAATTATTTAACAGGACTGAAACTAATGCTGGTTTCATTCTGTAACAAACATATCAACATATACACTCATTTGACTCACTTACTGCTTGTCATTCCTTCAGATGCCTCTCAAAGTCTATGCAATTTTGTTCTCTACCTCAGGTGGCTTTGACTAAGGATGTGCAGAGGTGGTGGGATACTGGGAAAATAACAGAAATTGGGGAGTGTGCTCCACCGGATCAGCCTAGCAGGATGGATAGCCTGACTGTGGTGGAGCCGGGCAAAATCAAACGTGGCAAAGGAGGCACACAGGTATGCAATCTAACTGAAGAGGTTTAAGAGGAAAGATTTGTTTTACATGTCATGTTGACAGAATTAATAAAGAAAGCAATTAATAAGGTGGGGAGGGGAGTAAAAAAGGAAAAGAAGAAAAAGAAAGAATAAATATATGAGATGTGGGAAAAAATGGAAATAATTAATCTATTATACATTGTAAAGGTATAATAATACAGTATTGTATTGTATATACACTGTAAACGTTGTAACTGTATCTGCAGTATTGTGCAAAAGTCAGAGACCACCCTTCAGTCCTTAATTTATGTCATTTCAAGTCAAAATGGCCATTAAGCACAAGTTATTCATTTTTCAGAAGATATTTCTGGGGAGATAGTATCTATTCCACTTGCATAAAGCAGGGGGGAAAGAAGGAAGGAAAAAAGTGAAAAAACCCAAACTACTGGAGTTCAAAAAAATAAAAAAAAATATAGACGAAATGAGACTCCTACCATGCATGTACGATCAGTTAAGCCACCAAAACAGTCACAATCAAATCTTTCGTCTTTAAAAGAGAGGAGAAAATAACCTCCACTCTGAAAAAATCCATAGGTGTTTCTGTCCATCCTACCGCTGTGAGAAGAAAACTCAACACTATGAGTCTGAAAGGATGTGTAGCTATAAAGAAGAACATTTGTAAATCAAAGAAGCTACTGATGTTCTCAGAACAATGGACTGACCACCCCAGAGCCCAGACCTCAACACCACTGAATGTGTTTGAGATTACTTGAATCGTGAGAAGCAGAAAATGCAGCCAACTTCTAAGACTAAACTTTGGAGGTGTGAAAAAAAACCCTGCAGATTTCTTTGAAAAACTGAAAGCAAGTCTCTAGAAGAGAATGAAAACCATAATAAAGGCAAAGTATAGACAAGCTGAATGCTAAGAAATAGTTGTTTGTGATTGTGATGAATAGCTTGTATTGAAATTAATTAAATGAAAGGTGGTCTTTGTCTTTTACGTAGCACTGTATAAAACTGCCTTCTACCACAAGCCTTATTCTTTTTCATTATTATTATTATTATTATTATTATTACAGAAGTTAAAGTATTATTGTCCCCATCCTGTCCTGTAGACATTTTTATAACTCTAGCAGCTAAGCTCCAACTCAGCAGCTTTTTGTGATCATTAGACCATTTGAAAAGTTTTACTTCTTTGCTTATAGGCAAGCAGGATTGCTTTGCTTCATTCTCTGGCCAACATAGAGCAGTGGGCGATTGACGTCTCATGGGATATTATAGCTCGATTCTCTTCAGTCCAGCTTAGTACTGGAGACTCAATGCCACGCCAGTTCTTCAGCGACTTTGTCAAAGTAGCAGGGGATGAAGCCAAGGTCAGTGACTCGACTAAATTAAATACTACAGCTTACGATTTTCTGGTTGTAATATAACCTTTTTTTTTTCAACAGCACTATAATTTATTAGAGGAAAGGATCAAGGAACTGGGTAGCTCTTTTGGTGCCCTCCCAGTGCATAATGGTCAGTATGGCGTTCAGGCCTTGTTTGGGTTGACAACTGACTTTGTGAAGCTAACATTGTAAGTAAGATTTCTTGTCCTTTTTCTGTAGGTTTGTGGCAGTCAGCGACAGAAACTTCTCATGATCTTCTGGCTAGACTGGCTATAGTACACATGGTCCATGAAGCCAGGTATGTTACTGAGCACATTATACAAAACAGATACGGAAGACAAATTGCAGCTTTCTTAGCCTGCTGTTCTACTACAGCCAAAAAACAGTTACACATAGTCACTAAAAAGTGAGGTTTAAGTGAATATATTTTAGGATTTTATTGCGTGTTGAATCAGAATGTTGTTTACACTAGATAATGGGATTATTATTTTGATGGATTTAGAGCAAAAAAGACACTGCTTATTTCAGCAATTGTTCCATTTTTTTTCTGAAGATACGTCATTTTAGTGAGACTAAAGACTGTCGAACTCTGAAGTCTGCCATAATGTTAAAGTTATTGTTAGATGACTTTGATTTCATTGTACCACCAGTCTTTGACACTGAGGTCCCTGTTAGTTAACGATTCCTGTTTTCAGCTGAAGACAGAAAAAGTATACTGAGGTTATTTTCTGTCTGTTTTTTCAGTGTATCAAAGCCAAGATTAGATTTCAATATATGTGTGGAATATATATGTATGTGTGTCAAAAGTCCCAAAACAGACTTTATTTATTTGACTTGGTATCATGGTTTCCATAGGGGCTTAGACGTGCACCCTCAGACGCTGTCCCGCTTTGCAGCTCAGGGAGACACAAACTCGGTAAAGATCCTAAAGGTCATCTACACTGATGAGATCACTCATGTGGCTGCAGGACTGCGATGGTTCACACACATCTGCTCCAAGGAGGGGCGGGTAAGAGTAATTACACAGAGCGATGTGTCTCTTTTGCCTCGTTTGATTCTGTGCAAATTTGCCTTGGTCGAACGATCCATCATGTTAAGCTAAGATAATCAAGTAACCTGCATAAAACATTTTTTATTGCTGAGCATGTTGTGAGAGCCATCATTATTACAAGTGTGCAATTACACAAATGCAGATGACAACAACCTGAAAATCATCCAACTGCTAGTCTGCTATGACACTTGGCTAAGCTTGGCTGTCGCTGTAGCGGCCCCTTCTGTAACGCTCAGAATGCAGCTTGGGCTTGAGACACGTTATTAATTACGTCATCACACATTTTTAAATGCAACAACGCGCAAAACCGTGTTTGCTTAGCTTGAATCTTTCTGGCTTTAGACGTCAAGCGCCATTACTTTACACTTTACGTTAACTTAAGTTTAATAACAATAACAAAATAACAAAAATGTGATAAAACAGATGGATTTTCTTTCTACAAAACAAAACACAACACACATAATCATTTTTCAAATTCAAATCATAAAAAAAAAAAATTAGGAACACAAATGTAAAATAGATTAAAAGCTTAGAATCTGCACTTTTGACATATTTTCTCAGCTTATTTCTTTAAGCTATGAGTGAGAAATAATTAAAATCAAACTACACTGTGCTTTTGTTATCAACAAACACACTAGTATTCAAAAATGTGGAATGACTTGTCGTATTAACATTTTTTTTTATTATTATTATACAATTATAACTTATACATTGTGGAATTAAACATTACAAATGATTTGTCAAAATATATTGTAATTTTAATAAATTGAACATTTCAAGAATTTTGTAAACAAGTTATTAAATTATCGTATAATTTATCTATTTAAATAAATTCTTTTGCAAGTTACCTGCCTTGAGATTTAATTGGCAATTTCTATAATGAAATATGAGGAATTCAGCGTGTTTATTTTTATAAATTTATTTTCTAAGCCTTCTGTAATTGTAGACATTCTAAAGTCTACTAACATTCCTCCTTTGTATTTACAAGTTGCACAGTGTTAGCATGTTAGAATTAACCACATTGATTTTTGATTGAGCCACCAAATTGCATTTATATCAATGAAAACAGTGATTCCAAGTTTTTGGACAATAGTGTTATTGCATCTTCTAAAGGTTAGTATAGAAAATATGGCTTAAGCATGTTTTTTGTAAATGTTTAATATTTAAAGGAAAATATACTGGTGCTATCCATTTTTTCACTGTTCTCTATCATTCTATATCAATCAATGCCAGTTTGCTGTGATTGCTGTATTATTTTCTAGGATTGCTTGAAGACTTTCCATGATTTGGTGAAGTTGCACTTCAAAGGGTATTTAAAGCCCCCTTTTAACACAGAGGGGAGGATGACAGCAGGGATGACAGAAGAGGTATTTTTCTTACTGTTATATTTTAGTATGCATCATGTCCTAACATTAGTGGCTTTTGAAAATGCATAAAAAATGATAACCTAATCTGATTTAGATTTTAAAGCATGTGTAATAACCAGAATCGTTTTCTCCACAGTGGTACGTTCCACTTGTTAAACCCTCCAGCTGACCGAAGGTGTCCTTCACCTTTTGATACGAAAAGAAAAGCTGCTATTCACTCCCGTCTGTTCAGAATATGCTCACTCACCAGTAACTGCCATCATTTACGTTACAGCAAAAATTAGCTGTACTTGTTTTACGTGTCCATTGCTGTTGTGAAATGGTTATTTACGCAGGGTTTTGAAAGTGCTGCTGCTATATTAAATCGTGTCATCTGTTTTTTTTCATGCATCAAATGCATAGAAAAGTGACAGACTAGTGATTATATGAAAACATTCACTTAAGTTTCTTGCCAAAAGCATTTCTTGGAAATTTAAGAATCAATTTTTTTTCGGAAAGGGAAAAAAAAACGTTTAAAAAAAGTTTACTTTTTTGTATGCACTATATTGAGTATAATCCAATAAATAATATAATCTTCAAAGTTGTGATGTACTTGCTTTTTGTGTCAAAATATTTTCATAATATTATTAAAGATATGAAAACTGTAACTCATTGTACTGACAGAGGGTGCTGGTGAGTCAAGAAATAGTACATGTAGAATGTAGAATGGTGACGTACAGTGAAAAACACAATAGGGGGTTTGAATGTGCAGTTTTTAGTGATATAGCTGGGTTTTGAGTATGTTCCAGTAACATTTTTCATAATTTAATTACATTGCATTTGCTTTTTACAGCTTTGATGTCAAGAATTCAGTCTCAAATGATTTCATCTGTTCTTTCATGATCAAGATGCTTATTGGTCAGCGTATTTCTTTGACTTCAGAGTCTATTTGCAGGTTGTTTTGACAGAACCTCTTGATTATCGTCCACTCATTAAAATAAAATAATGGTAGAAATCAGTGGAATGTAGGTAAAACATCACTCACTGATTACATAAAGCTCAAAGGCAGCCAATATGTAGAGTTAGACTACAGGGCAATTGGCTGATACAATTAACTACATTTATATACATGTACATGAATTTTATAAAAGCCACGGATGGTCCTCATAATGTTCCCTAAAACAGATTAAAGACTGCTTCATGAAAAACCTGTAAAACATGTCAAACCAAACAGTTCACAAATACATAAAAGTAATAATTACAAAATGAACCAATAGCTTTAATTGAATGTAGCTTTAGAAAGTAAGTTCCACATTTACTTTAATGTCCAGCCACTGGCACCTGAGTCCCTTTATCATCATGAGAAAAAAGTTATATGCCTTTTTATCGGAATTATCACACTCATGTATGAGCACAGGATTGCTCATTCTGCATACAAAAAGAATATGTACCTTACTCTCACCATGTTTAACATTTACAAGGATTTCACTCTTAAAAGTAAAGGTGCCATAAGAGTTCATTGGATAGATGCTATAGAAGAACCACTTTTGTTTCCCTAAAGATCATTTCAATAGATGGTTCTTTAAAGGTCATATTTGGGTGAAGAACTTTTTAAAAAGTTTATAAAATAAGAGTTTGATTACTATGTAAACATAGTTTCAAAATGTATCATTTGCTTCTCAGTCCATAGAAACTAAGCTGCAAAAACAGCCCGTTTTGATTTTGCTGGTTTGGTGATGTCATGAAAACCAACTCATTTGCATATATCTTGCTATTCAGCCTAGAGCAGATTAGCCCTGCACATTTATGCTGAAATTACAGAGTGTTTCAGCCTTGACTATTTTTTCAATGAGACAAGACACAGGGCAGCCAATCAGAACAGAGTTCTTTTAAATACATCAGTTTTAAAAGCACAGTAATAAAAACAGCCTGTTTAATTCTGAAGAGATAAATAGGGGTTGGCATGAAACATGAATAAGGGCTGTTTTACTTAATACCATACAAAGATTATAAGTCAATCTCTGGGAAAAAAAATAAAATATAATACACACAAAAAAGAATATAGGCCCTTTAAAGAACCTCTACATAATGCAAAAATTCTATGCCAACTAAAGGTTTCCTAGAACCGTACATCTGAGCTAAGAACCATTTAGTAACCTTTATTTTTAAGTGTTGTTAAGAAAAGCACCCTTGCTGGGAGGGTAAAAACAGAGACTAAAAGTCACCCAGTGTGTGCTGGCCAGACGAGACAAGTGCCGTATTTTCCGTACAGCGTGAGCCTGTGTCATTTGTTTTCACTTCTGCTTTTGTATTTTTGTGATTTTTTTTCCCCCCATCATGCTCAGCGTAGAAGTTAACAACTGCCCCTGCTTGAGAGCCATTTGGTTTAGTTTTATAACTCACTATGCGTTTTACTTTACATTTATTTTCACCTTCACCCTCAGGACTTTTTTTATACGTGGCAAACATGAAATGTTTTCACATGTGGCCCTGCACCTGTAATGGACTTGTGATCTGTGGGCTAATAGTTCAAAGACAAAGTTCATTTCATTAATGCAAAGGTGAATAATATAAAATGGAATGTTAAAGAAAACACGAAAGGTCGGCCAACCGAAAGAGTGTGATGCTCGAAGTCCAAATGAGCAGAACTCTCTTGAACAGAAAGAGATCATCTTCCGTGCACCAAGTCTCTGTCGTCTTCCTTTCTTTCTTTCTTCCTTTCTTTCTTTCCCATCGCTTTACATATACAGCTTCCTATCTAGATGGCTCTTCCCGAGCACCTCGCCGCTGAACTGGTAGGTGAGCTTCTTCTTGATCTTTTTGACCTCTCCGGTCTTGCCGTAGTTTCTCAGCGCCCTGGCCATCTTCTGGTAGGTCATCTTCTTGCGGTTGCCCTTCTGCACGCCCCAGCGGTGGGCCAGAGCCTCTTTGTGTTTGGAAGAGAACTGGAAAGTTCCCTTTTCTCTGTCCACCCACCAGATGCTGTCCTTCATGTCCCCGTTTCGCAGAAGGTCCAGCAGGAACTGATACAGACGAATCTTCTTCTTGTTTCCTAGGTGAAAAAAGACACACAGATAAACAGAGAAAAAGTCAATGGCCCAGTCTTTTTCTGATGGGGGAGATTCTGCCGTCAAATATGGGACAGCCCATGTCTAACAGGCCTGTGTGAGAGTATTGTTTTGCCAGGCCAAGGCTCACGATAGGGTTGTTTGTTGGAAATGTGACCTTTCACAGAAAGTTCCTTGTTATTCTATTGGCCTGATTAAAGGGAAATTTCGGGGAAGCCAAATATTTGTGTGTAAAATGTGACATGTATTCAGAGAAGTGGCTTCGCTTGTGTTTTTCTGGCTATATATACGTCATTATATTTCTTAGCAACATCAAGAATTCACTCTAAAAACATTTACCAGTCAGCAGGCATTCAAATTAAAGTACTTACATCAGCCATCAAAGCTAGAATCATTAGCCCTCATCTTTAAAACAATGGTTTGGCCAAAACTCATTTTTACAGCAAATGCAGTCAATCAGCCAAAAGCCAATCAGTTTGGTTTCTAAAGCTTACTTTATTAGTTTTGCACCAGAGCTACAAGGCTAATATAGCTAACAACTAATGAAAGCTTATAGCCACCAGCATCATATAAAGTATATAGCTAAATCAACACCCACATGTTAAGTAATCTTACATAGACTTGCTTATGACGTTCCTGACATGGTATGACATTTTGTTATCTAAAAATAGGCAAAAGTGCACTGCATAGCTTCAAACAGTAGCAGCTTTCTTAAAACCTGCATCTTGTTCATGTTGTCTCCATTTTTTATACATTTTTTTAAATAACAGTAATAGTGTAAAAAACCACATAAGTACTTCCACTGGAGCTATGAGGCTAATGTGGCTAACAGGTAATTGAACGTGACAGCCACCAGTTACTATCAAGTAAATTGTATGCCTAAATTACTTGGGAAGAAATCTCAAATAGACCTGTTTATGTGATTTCCAACTCTGTATGATGTTCTATTCTCTAAAAAAAGAACAAAAGCATGTTGCATAGCTAAAAATAGTTGTAGCCATCTTAAAACCTGATTTTTGTTCATACTTTTCTCTATTTTTAAAGATAACATTACCAAACAGTGTCAGAAAACCACTTAAGCAAGTCTATTTGAGATTATTTAACAGCTTGATGCAGTTTGAGGCAAGTGTGAAATACTTTGACATTTTCATGATACACATGACATTTAGTTGTTCTGAGATTTAATAAGTTGGAACAGACAAAATAGAACCTGTAGTGCCATATATAAAATATATTATTATTATTATTATTGTTGTTGTGTATTGGAACTTTAAGTTAGCTAGTCTTCTTTAAGTACTGATGATATGCACAATGTGCTCAGAAAAGTGTATTGTGACATAATTTATCATGATAACGATAAAATATCGTCAAATTGCCCAACCTTAGTGTGAAATGGTTTAGATATGCAGTTTGCATTGATGCTAATTGGTAGAGTATGAGCTTCCATTACTTGTTTAACTACATTAGCCTCATAACTCCAAATCAAGAACAAGCTAACTTCAGATGCCAAACATGTCTTGGCTGAGTACATGTGGAGTAAAAGGAAAACGTTTAATTTTGTCAGTTTTAGCTTTTTCTCATACAGGGAAATTGAGAGAAAATCCTCACCGTGTTCTACTCCGGTAGTGGAGCTGATGTGGTCCCTCATACACTCTTCATCGGAAACCTCCAGCGGTGGGCTACGGCTGCCGGGGTCGTCATCATCTGAACTCCGCAGGAGAGGTGAGGGCTGCACGCTGTGGGGGTAACACACCGACGGCCGGGGCAAATACGTCATCTGCAGGGCAACAACAGCTCTTTATTCTGGGGAGGTCATAAGGAACATTGAAGCATCTCATGTGTTCTGCATGTCCTGGGTGTATAAAGCTGGGGTTCATTTTTGCCATCCTTTCTCACATCAACATGTTCAACTATAGTGCCTGTTATTTCCATTCAAAACCATTCCATTCAGAAAACATATTTAAAAGAAAATTACACAGAAATCTCACAACTAAGTATATATTTTTTTCAGCATTTAGTATGTTCACACTTTGCCGTTATTATAATGTTCATTCTTTTCTGAAGCCATGCTTTCATTTTTTTTTTAAAGAAATCTGTACTGATATTTTTCTACACATCTAAAGTTCAGTCTTAGAAGTTGGTTGCATTGTCTGCTTCCCAAGATCCAACTAATCCCAAACACATTTGATGATGTCAAAGTCTTTTTATTTGACTTGCTCCTTCCTTATGCAAGTGGATTATTTTATATCTAACCCCTTAGAAATATCTCCTGAAAAATGAAGAGCATGTGCTTAATGGCTGTTTTCACAGGAAATTAAATAAATGAAGGATGGGCTCTTATTTTTGCTTAGTACTGTATAATGCTGAGTGAAATTTGACTCATCCTCACAAGATTTTGAGTCAGTGTGGTACAAAAGGCCAAAACCCAGGCCTGTGTCAACAGGTGGCCATGCTATATTATTTCAAGATATCTTAGGCATGCTAAATAGCAAAAGGGGAAGTTTCTTGCTTACCACTGTATATCGCTGAGGAGGAGTATGGTACTCTCTCAAGACTATTTCAGTATACCTCACTGTGGTTCCACAGATATGATCTCGAATCGCTTCCATTTAAAAATGGTGAGAAACATTTGGCCAAAGGTCCAAAAAAAGGTAGAAAATAAATAAAGAACAGAGAGTATTTCTAAATCAGCATGAAGTAAAGGTGACTGAGATCACAAGGTCTTGAAGACAGTCACATTGTTATAATGCCTGTTTGTGTCATTTCATGCAGTGCGTTGGAAGACACACTTCCACATGATGGGACAGCCAGCTCAGAAAAAGAGGTCATGCAGGATGTTGAAACAAACTTATTTTACACTTAAGTTCAGCTGAAGTCATTGTATGTGGTTTCCTTAGTTTCAGCATCATCAGATAAACTACTGCATCTTGGTATCTACACCTAAATAAGAAAGAGAACACCTGCAATCCTTGCAACACAGGGAATCAATTGTTTTAGAGTCACATCTATGACCTGTTACATCCCTAAACTAATTTCACTTATACATCTGTAATTACTCACAGATTAACTGTAAGCTTGTTCCTGATGATCATATTAGTCATCAAGAAACCTACCGATTTTTTGGACGATTGAGTAACCAACGTTTCCAAAATAGGCCAAACCTTAAAAATGGACTGAGTGGAACTGATTATTCAAAGTGTCTGCATAATTATAAGATGTAAACAAAGTATTTCAGAGTAGTTTGATGTGAAATTGTGCATTATAGAGGAATTTCTTTACAGTTATAGTGATAGAAACCTACGATGACTACAGTGCAAATATAGCCATTTTATTTATGACCCAAAATGACCACTGAAGCTACATGTGCCTTGAGTTTTTATATGTAATGTTGTTAATAGTAAAATAGTGGTAAATCTGAACAAATAAATTTTCTTTAGGGACTATTTTGCCTTACAAAACTATCAGAAAACAAAGCCTCAGGCACCAGGCGGTGTATACATAACCATTTTGTGTGATGTCAGCTTTCTAGGAGGGAGCTTAAAGAGGCATTAAACACTTCAGACGTCTGGTTCCTGTCACCACCACTGTGAACAATTCTGACTCAGTAAGTTTCTTTAGAATAGCACACTTCACATCAAACCACCCCGAATGACTTTATTCAGAGCTTAACCACTTAATTATGCAGAATTTTTTTGAAAACTCCCCTTTAACTTAAGAAAACATGCATCACATCTTGAAGATTCCCAAAACTTTATTAGAAAAGAAACTAGGAATCTTTGAAGAAGACCTAAGACCTTAAGCACCCAACCCCTTTCACCGTGTGTCAACAATAGACAAAATTCTACATTTTTCATATTTAAGGTTTGTGTGGATTTATGTACCAAAATAAGCTTAATTTATTTTTACATAGCCATTCCCCAACCTGTTTATCCCTTCAACAGACTGTTGTTGTTACTGTGCCTTTAAGACTGATATATGTAAATGACCTCTGTTTTGATTGCCTTGTATTGTGCCTCATTCAAAAAGCAGCCCAGGCTGAAACACTCTTTATAACTTCAGTGTGAAGGGGTGGGGCTAAACTGCTGTAGGCTGAATCGGTGAATATACGTAACTGTGTTCGTTTTTGTGACATTACAATTCAAAACAGGCTGTTTTTGCAGCTTAGTTTTCATATATGGACTGTATGGATCGATGAGTGATACCTTTTGAAATGGTAACAATGTTAATATGACACATCAAACTCATTTATTTCAAAAAAGTGAGGAAAATTCAGTTTTCCATGAAACGAAGGATATTGCTACACTAATAGATTAGACTGTTTAACCTGTTGTCAAGTGTGAACCTTTTATCAAGTGAAATTTAAAGAGATAATGCTTAAAGGAAGTCCAGTTTGCAAGTGCAGTAAGATCATTTCACTTGATAAGAGGCTTAAAAACTGTCTAGAAAAAAGTTTTGTAAGTAACAATGTTTAGAAATTAATATGAACACAATCTTGAAAAAAGAAAAACAGAAAAGAGTTGTGTGCATCTGTTTTGAACAGTTGAACTTCCACAAATAGCCACATAGTCGCACCACGTACAGTATTCTGAACCGCAATATGAGGAGATCAGATAAGGCTAACAGAAGAATATTATTTTCAGTCTAAGTGGCTGTGGCCCAGCGCAGGAGTGGCCGTGCGCACTACAGGAGGCAGTAAATCAGCCTGCCATTCAGACAGCTCTCTTCCCTCCAGTGAGTCCACGGCTACACACAGAGGAAAAGCCCTCTTTTCGATAGCCTGTACTGTGGTTAGTGCCTGAGAAAGAAGTCCACCCAGACAGAGAGGATCCAATCACAGCCATTCTCTGATCTGGTTCCCATTCTAACCCATAGATTGCTTTCACTGGGTCTGCTTTCGCACTCTGTACATTGCTTGTCTTCTGTTTCAGGTTTCCTACAGAAAAGCTGCTTTGAATGTGCTTGACTCAAATGTGTGCATTGTTTCCACATTAATATATTTTATTCCATAAACATAATTGTGGACAAACATAAGATAATTAAAGGCAGTAACAGTGTGCATGGATGTTTTCCATGTGAAAATTTGGGTGCAGCAAAAAGCATCACAAAAACAAAACAACAACAAAAAAGCCTAAATATTTTCCTTTGTTTGTTTCACGCTGCCTTAATATTGTTTTGCCAAATTAAGAGCGAAAATGAAACTCCTGAACTCTCATTTACTGTTAAGAATCTGAATAACTATTCCAATTATGTCAAATTGCAATAATATAAACTGTTTATAAGGCATGAATGGTTGAACAGAATCATAATTACAAATTAGTCATTTAAAATTAGCATCCCTTCTCATTGATATCAGCCCAGTTTTTGTGCATATGTGTGTATGTGCTTGTGTGTGTATGTGAATGTGCTTGCGTTTTGTGCGTCTCTGGGTGTCCGAGTACATCTGTGTGTGTGTGTGTCACAATAAGGAGCGGTTGTGTTTGTGTAAGTGGGGAGGGCCTGTGTAACGGCGGTTGGTGAGTATGCAGGCTGCTGCTGTGGTGACAGTGGTGAGGACTGGTCAGGATAAGGCTGGGTTGAGAAACAGTCTGGGTGCAGATGCGCTCTCTGCGCTCCGCACCAGCAAAGCAAATGAAACTCTGCACCAACTCAGTGACAGCGAAGCTTCAGTGTGCACTCTAGTATGTGCAAATAAGGACAGGGAGAAATCCTACAGGCACTTTATAACAACTGAATCGGTTAACCCCTTATTATGCAGCTGTTATTCTTAAGAGTTAGTTTTGTAATAATTACTACATAATAATGTGTCCGTTATGTAGTTGAGTGAGGGACTGAAGCGAGGGCCCACATACAGGCCTTTAGGGTTTCTGCAGCTAACTTGTAGCAAATGTTCTTGCACAAATTTAATTATGGAAAGTATAATTGTGTATTTTTAGGGAAAAATCAGCATGTGATAGCATCACATAATTTTCCAGCAACTCACACATGGACTTTTTATATTTAGATTGATGATCGTTGTGTGCAGAATTATTGAGATAAGCAAAATAATCATGATCTAAATTCAGTTATGAACTACCACATGTGAGCATCACAGAGCCTGACCATGCAGCATGCATTTTTTTAATATAATTACAATATACAGTTGTATGCAAAAGTTTGAACGCCCTTGGTCAAATTTTTATTGATTGATTTTATTTGCGAAGTGAAAATAGGTTGACATCCTTTACAAAGAACACACTTCTGCACATTTACTGTTAATTTGCTGAATTTAACACACTGGGTAAAAAATTAAGAATGTTTTATTTTATATTTCCACAATATGTTAAACTCAGCAAAAATAAATAAATAAATAAATAAATAAATAAAGCACTACAATCATTTTAAAAAGCGGCAATGTCATATGTTTTAACTCATTTACATGTAGAAAATCAATAAAATATAATTGGATGGGGGACATTTAATCTTCTGCATACAACTGCAATTATCAACTGGGCTAGCATCTAAAATTACTTAATAATTTATTATGACAACTATATTCTGCATAGGCAGTATGTAACACAGTTAACATCCAGTGGTTCTCTGCTTTATGTTGATTGGAAACCAAAATATTGCCAAAAAGGCATGTTAGAAACAAGTTCATCCATTTTGCACTCTAGTGTGGAGTAGATGCCATGTACCAGAGTTCCTTTGTTTCATTTGCATATTCCCCAGCATTCTTTGCCAGACTGAAAATCTATGTTATAATCTTTTCAAGTGATGTTTAAATATGCACATGTGCAGTATCAGTTGGTGATGTTCTATTTATATAGTCTGTTATTAAGTGCAGACGTTACTGTTGTATACATAAAAAAGAACAATGATTTTTGTAATATCTGTGCTTATTTAAATCGTCACAATATTCAATATCAGTTATCGGCACAAGGCTGGTGCAGCCTCCAAGCCTCTGCCAATACTCTTAACAATAAAAGTTCCTAAATGGTTCTTGACTTGGACATAAGGTTCTGGAACCTTTACATTCTATGGAGGCTCTTTAGATCTTTAAAAATGGTTCTTTGCACTCACACGTCTCATTAACAAGACCACTTCCTAAAGAACCATCCACTTAAAGGTTCTTCAGGGAACCACAGGTGGTTCTTCTGTGGCATTGCTCTAAAGAACCCTTTTTGGGTCCCCCTTTGAAGTCTCACTGCTTTTGCATGTATGGTGAAATGATATAATCTGACCACTGGCTCCACTGTGCATTGTTGGCTTTGTAGCAGAATTGGAGCAGTTAGTGAAATCTCACCTGTGGAGAGGAGAGGGCAAGGTGGGGTCCAGGCAGACTGGGGTCGAGAAAGTGGCTGGACTCTATCTCACTGAAGCGCTGATGCACGCTGGACGGGTGAACCTGTGGCACACTCTGCAGCTCCGTGAAGTGGCTCTCTGGCAGATTCTCAAAGTCTCCTGAGTGGATAGGGTGGGGGTTGTACTCCCAAGTGTGATCTGGACAGAGGTGGCCAAACGAAGGGTCAGCAATTGCCATCTTAGAGCCAATACATGCAAACCGATGTTGACATTAGACAGTCAGTAAAACCATGGGCAGTAGTCGAGTTGTCAATTTCAGATTTGTTAAAAACATTGACTTTTTTGTTTGTTTGTTTGTTTTTTTCACTAAAACCACCAGGCCTATGTGTTCACACCACCATTTCCTTCAGCAGTTTTGTGAATAGCGTCAAACTTGCAGTTTGTTTTTTGCCTCCATGTTTTCCATCACTGAAATGAAGAATCCCAGTTTCTAAATCCATTACTTCACAATTTGCAATACATTCTGTATTGGTTGTGTGTTTAGAGCACACAGAATACCTCATGGGAAAACTTTAGAGGACACCTAGCCAAAGAAGAGTTCATAAAAATATGTCAACTAAAACAATTGTTACATTGCTGAAACTGTTACTGTATAAGTTAAATTAGCTGGTAACACTCTCAGAAATAAAGGTACTAAACTATCACTGGGGCGGTGCCCATCTTGTCACTGGGGTTGTCACTCAAGGGTACATCTCGGTACCTTTAGTCAGGGACCATAATTGTACCATAATCCACTAAAATGATATTTTCTAAGTTGTATTGACTCCACACACCCCGTCTCGTCTCCAGACTTTTTATTTTATTGTTCTGATTTAAAACATTAGGTTATGAAAAGATATAAATATGTACTTTTCACCTGGAAAAACCTATTTAAGGTTCACAACTGGACCTTAAAACCACCGTTGTACCTTTGAGGGAACATTTATATTGTTTGTACCTTGTTTAATGAAAAATGTACCTGCACAGAACCTTTATTTCTAACAGTGTATATGTAAGAGCATTAGGCATACGCAAAGCACGAACATTGAACATAACTTGAGTTATTTAGCCAAATTTTTAGACTTAAGCCTAATTGTGAATTTCCACTGAAAAGTACATTAAGTTTTAGCTTCATTTCTGTCAAGCAAACTAACCATTACATTTCCAAAACAGGCAAACGTCAACCTGCAAACACATGGCTGACTTTGTTGATGTCGTTTTGCTTAAAGCCTCCTGTAATTAGCATTTCTCAGACTTCATGAAAGTAGGTGAACGCTGTTTTCACTTTTCTTTTAACGTCGCACTGCAGTGGCTTTCAGAACTGAAATGCTACATGCTAATGTACACAAAAAACTCTTAGCTTATGTAGTTCCAGAAATGAGACAGCGACGTGCATACAATCATACGACCCCTGTACTGCACTCCCAGCTGGCTCTTCTTTTAATGTGTGTCCTTTTCAGCCCTTTTTCCACTTTGTGATGCTTTCTATTTTTCAGCAATAGCTCAGTTTGATAACTGTGTGGCCTAGATAGACTCTTTTAGGTGGCAGGCCCTTGGGGATATTTGTCGTTCTACGTCTGTAGTTTTCTTGCCTGTCAAAATGAGGCATCTGTTTCCTGCTTTGTGTCGGGTCACTTGCCTGGTTCCACTCGCTAGCTCTCCTAACACCCCCTTGCAGGGTTTATTCCCAGCTGCCCTGGGTGTGATTTTGAACCGTTAGTTCATTCTACCGAAGATGGTGTTAATATGGGCCTCTAAGTGTGGCGCAGTGCTAACCTATTTTGGTGAAGTTTCAGTCCATTTGAAAACGTATGTATACATTTTGAACAGTCTGCAATGACGTATGCTTAAAAGTGCCGTAATGCAGTAAGACAACAACAATCTACAGATGAACTGATGTAAACAAAAAAACAGCATCTCACCACTTTGGCCTTCTCCATCGATTATGTATTGGTATTCCATTGGTGGCCGATAGATGTCAGGTTCATAGATCATTTCTTCCGATGGCTGTTGGGTGAATTGTGAAGAGAGAGTTTGACCAATTGGAATGAAAACAATAAGCAAAGCCCTTAAAGTTCAATGCAGAAATATGAATGCAGTATGCAGTATGAGAAAAGCCTCACATCTTTGTTTACAAGTGCCCAGTAATCTTTAAATTCAGATGGTGTCTGTGACATCCAGCCAGTCCGGGTTATTTTCTATTACACATAGAAATTATATTTCAGTAATTCAGTAATTTTTGAGAACAGTTAAACTTGTAGAATAGAATCGTTGTTACATAGAAGCACATGTGAGGTTATCCTAAATGACCACCTGTCATATATCACTTGATTTATTCATTCTGTTTGTTCATTTTCAATTTATTTCACCTTATAATAATCAAGGCATCTTAATTTATAGACAGTTGATAATGAAATTTAATACACCAATCCTAAAATATGCTAAGCAGCACTGAAACCATAACAAAACCTAAAATACAAGTGTATCTAAAGTTGGGAGCCGAAGAATTTGCACATATTCAAACAGTTACGTGTATATTAATCAAATACAAATAAGGCTACCCTTCTAAAAGACTTAATAAGGCTAAATGAGTCGTCTATTATTTTTGAACGGTAAACATGAACAACAAAATACCAACATAGTGATGCTGTTCACTTTCCACTACTGTAGTATTTGTTCAATTCTACGTTCGAGGACTAAGCAGTGAAATGTTACATCAGTGTAACTGAAACATTGACACATCTACTAGCTTTAGGCCATTGCCGGGAACTCGTAACCCTGCTGACTCTTCGTTAACTTCTAGGTCTTTGTATCTTTACACTTTTACAAGCAGAACACAAACACAACGGAATGCATGCATAGAAGATGGAGAATACTCACAGGTGGGATGATGTACCCCTCCATTCTGAATGAAGGCAACATGGAGTCTTCTCCCCTTCGCTCACTCTAGCTCTTTGCGCTAACCCTTTCTCAATGGCTTTCAAAACTGTCCCCGAGCCATTGCACAACTCGAAATTTCCTCTTACCAAATGAAACCAAAGATCTCGTACACACACACAGAAGCACGCACCTTATCCAGTGGGGGCCACACAGCTATCTCCCAGGGCCCCTAAAAGAAAGTGGCTACAGAGACAGTGCAAGTAGCACGTTAGCCTAACAGCAAGCGTGACCAAAAGGATCGGGCTTTCTGTTTGTTACTTCTTTATTTTTGGGTATGTGTGTGAGTCTGCTGCTGGTTCCTGATTTTAGGGTGATGTCAGGTGGGGATTATAACTACTCAGTTAGAACAGACGCAAAGTGTCACCTCCCCCAATAGCCAATCAGAGACAACTCAGCCAACACGCTTCTTCCTGTCCACCTCCATACTGCCTGCCATTCCACAAGCTTTAACGTAGGATGAAGGAATAATTGGTGCCACTTTAGAAGACTTTAGGGCTCCTCTAATTTCTGCATTTTAGAAGCCATTTCCAGAAGGGTGATTCTCACAAACATGACAAACACTAGGACCCAACTTAATCTTAAAATGGCTAAAACTTAACGTTGCTTTTGATATATAAACAATTATGCCTGGTTATATCATTTAAAGTAAACTTGACTTTTTAAAAATAGATTTTTAATAACATTTTCCAGTATAAATGACCAAATTCTCATTACTGTATGGTGACACAGTGAAATCTGAAGATTTTTTTGTCAGCATTTCTTTTTATAATCTGTATGCTGTTGAAGGCTTTATTAAAATATGTATATTTTTACAAAGTACAGTATTTTATCATTTTATCTCACTACTGCAACACATTGACAGCCATTGACAGCCATTTTCTATTCACTTGTACCATGTAATATTTCAGTTCGTTTCTTTACAGTTTACAAGGAAACCACTAAAGTTCCAAGATTCAAAAGTTAAATGTAATGCAAACTCTATTTTTCTAATTTAAACATTAAAAAAAGATAAATACCAGTAATGAGAAGCAAATATCTGGAGACATTGCGGTAATGAGAGTTAGGATAGAAAAAATGGCAAAAAAATCATTAAATATATAAAACTAACAATATAATTTTTGTTGTACCATATAGAGTGTCAAATGATGTGCTGAGTTACAGGCTTATTACATACTAAGGCTTATTATTCAGTAACTACAGGGACTTCAGTGCAAACTGGCTGAGCTATTGTTAGGTTATAGAAGTGTGTAATAAAACTTTGGGCCTGCTTGTGGGCCCCCTGCCTGCTTGTGGGCCCTGGCCATTTAAGGGGTCACTGTTGTTTATCTGCATGATGATTATGACTCTCAAACATAATGGAAATGTATGGTGAGATGATATAATCTGACCACTGGCTCCACCGCGCTGTCCCTGGCTTTGTAGGCTTTGTAGCAGAATTGGTGCAGTTAGTGAAATCTCACCTGTGGAGGGGAGAGGGCAAGGTGGGATCCAGGCAGACTATGACCAAGAAAGTGGCTGGACTCCATCTCGTTGAAGTGCTGATGCACGCTGGACGGGTGAACCTGTGGCACACTCTGCAGCTCCGTGAAGTGGCTCTCTGGCAGATTCTCAAAGTCTCCTGAGTGGATAGGGTGGGGGTTATACTCCCAAGTGTGATCTGGACAGAGGTGACCAAACGAAGGGTCAGCGATCGCCATCTTAGAGCCTATGACATGCAAACCCGGCGTTGGCATTAGACAGTCAGTAAAACCATGGGTAGTAGTCAAGTGGTCCATTTTAGATTTGTAAAAAAAAAATTACCTTTTTTGTTTGTTCACTAAAACCACCAGGACTACGTGTTCACAGTTTCCTGTTCACACCACCATTTCCTTTAACAATTTTGTGAATAGCATCAAACCTGCAGTTTGTTTTTGCCTCTATGTTTTCCATCACTGGACTACAGAATCCTAGTTTCTAAATCCATTACTTCACAAACTGCAAATTCTAAATTGCTTATGTGTTTGGAACACATGGAATTCCAATGTAGAGCTAGGAATTGGATCAAAATACACTTTACAAATGTTTATCTTATATGAAAATAAATTTTAGTGAGTGGAATTAACTGTAGCTGTATGTCAACTTAAACAAAGAACAAAAGAAAACATAATTAACCCCTTAAATGGCAAAGGCCCACTGGAGTTTTATTACTCACTTCCATAACCTAAGAATAGCTCAGCCAGTTTGCATTGAAATCCCTGTAGTTACTGAATAATAAGCCTTCATATGTAATAAGCCTATTTTAATATTGAAAAATATAAAAAATATTCCTAGAAACATACATCCAAGCCTTGAACCATCAAGAAACCTTTTATTTCAGGAGTGTTGAGCTGGTAGTCAAGTTTTAGAAACTTTACAGATGTGTACTCTGTACTCTGTACTCTATATTGCATTAAAGAAAATAATTAAGCAAATTCAACACAACATATTTTGGAATTTTCTATATTAATCTATTCAGAGGCTCAACTTTCAGGAGACAGTTTAGGCTTTTTGTGCTGAGACAAACAGCCTACTCTGGCAGCAGATGATGAACTATCTCAAAGATAAGGTTGTTAGTGAGACTTTATCTAGTATCAGTTATAATCTCCTAGTGGTCCAGTAAGACAAGTAGGAACAAAAGATAGCACGTACATCTGGGACAGTGACTGCAAACTCTGTCTCCATCAAACGACCACAATGCTAGTTATGAAGCAATAGAAATTATACTGAAATAACATGATGAAGATACTGTACATTCTGCAGAAACATGAATTCATTTTGGCTGGAAATGGATTGCATTGTCTTCTACACTAGGGGTTTTCCTTTAATGCAGAAAGGAAAGGCCCAAACAGAAGGCCCAAAATAAAGTCAGACTCAATCTGTATGGAGAGGAATACAAGGCTGAACTTCTGTCTCTGGGTCAGTTCTAAGCAGAAACTATTACGTTACCCTGAAACTGCACAACTTTCATTGAATCACTGACTTCGTGCCTCATGACTGTAGAATTTATTTATTTATTTATTTATTTGGGCACTGAACCTTCTAAAAAATCTGCAGTACAGCAGAGTTTTGTCATTTTCTCTTCTGAAAGCTCATAGGATGAGGTCTCAAAACAGTTACCAACAGGCAATGATTAATCAGTTTTTATCATATTACTCATCTTAGAAGTGTTACCTTTAAGAATCGCTAAGCGCATGCTGCAAATGTTGCAGCCAAAAACTGTTTATATATAACATAGCTGTAACAAAATACTTATTTTATTCAATTCTGCCTTTTAACCCCTTAAAAGCACAGGATTATTATATTTTAAGGCTTATTATCAATAACAACATGGACTGCAATGTAGACTACACTGAATTTCAGACTTGCTGGTAAATCCTGGATTTTTAAAAGGTTAAAGCAGTATTAGAGTGCCTAATAAAGATGATCAAATGGCCCCATAGCATCCCAGGTGACGCACAAAGACCTCTGAAGCACAACACTCTAAATGAATGATCAAATACTCTGACAAACCTTATGGGAAATACTTGCAGAAAAAGTCTCCCAGGCAGAAAAGGCATACATGTTGATTTATTTTTCATTCCCTGCTGCATGTTTTCACAGTTTGTGAACCAGTTCATTATGTAATCATCACATGACTGATTTCTTATTGTCTTATTATGAATGATTATTGTGATATGCACTGATCAGGCATAATATTAAAACCACCTCTATGTTTCTGCACTCATTGTCCATTTTATCAGCTCCACTTACCATATAGGAGAACTTTATAGTATTCTGTGAGTGGCAGATCATTCTCACCACTGCAGTGACACTGATGTGGTGGTGGTGTGTTAGTGTGTGTTGTGCTGGTACGAGTGGATCAGACACAGCAGTGCTGCTGGAGTTTTTGAACACCTCAGTATGCTGGACTGAGAATAGTCCACCCACCAAAAATATCCAGCCAACAATCCTGTGGGCAGCAACCACTGATGAAGGACTAGAGGATGACCAACACAAATTGTGGACATGAGCTGCTGTCTCTGACTTTACATATACAAGGTGGACCAACAAGGTAGGTGTGTCTAGAGTGGACATTGCGTGCACACAGTGCAACACACACTACCACACCACCATGTCAGTCACTGCAGTTCTGAGAATGATCCACCACCCAAATAATTCTACCACCTTGCTCTGTGGTGGTCCTGTCAAGGCCCAGACCATTCAAGAACAGGGTAAAGTGGGCCAACAAAGTATGCAGAGAAACAGGTGGGCTACAGTCTGCAATTATAGAACTACAAAGTGCACCACTATGACAAGTGCAGCTAATAAAATGGGCAGTGAGCGTAGAAACAAGGAGGTAGTTTTAATGTTATAGTTCATCAGTGTTTACGTCAAGTAGCATGTGAATTTGCACTTGGTGATAATTGCAACAGGGTCTGTCTTTCAGGTGATTTTAGTTTAGAGTGCATGGGGTTTTCTCTTTAATAGCATTTAGAACCTAACAGGGGATTCCCATAGCTCGGAAAAGTTAGATTAAAAGCTATTTTGGCCTGGGAGAATGAAACTGCAAAAGCTTTTCACTAGTTTGTAATAAACATAGACCAATTACTGCATTAGTTCAAACTGTTGTCCCACAATAAAAAAAAGACTATTTAAGAAAGCTATTAAGAATTCAGACTGTACATATTTACAAGGATTATGTTATGATCTATTCAAACTCAAGGCATTTACTGAGGGTACTGATTTACTCAGGGTATCTTTTTATTGGGAGGTGGCTGTCCCAAATCTAACACCTAAATTTCAACTTGATAAAATAATGCTATATTTTATTTATTTATTCATTTTGCATTTTTGTAATGTTATTAAATATTCATTTGAAAGTGAAGCTTTATTGGGTGGCACGGTGATGCAGTGGGTACTGTTGTTACCTCACAGCAAGAAAGGCCTGGGTTCAATTTCCAACTGAGCAACCAGGATCCTGTGTGTGTTTGTTTGTTTGTGTGTGTGTTTAAAACTTTATTTTAAAAAAAATGCTGTCTTTTCTTTTTATGTCACTACCAAAACACAAAGGGATTCGGTCCATGGGCAGAGCCTTATTTATCCACACCCCTGCAGGACATGAGACTGCATCTTTGTCCCTCATGACCACATGGTGAGCAGTTAGATCCCATTGTTTTGAAGTAAGCTGTGTCCCAAAGTCTGAAAATCAGTGTGTAACATTAAGAATAGTCACTACCGAAACTTAAACTTTTGGGGTATTAAAGCAAAATATTCTGATTTTATGTATGTGCAACTGTTCACTGTTCAAAGTTGTGTTTGCT